GTCAGCACCAAGCACACCCGTGTCGTGTGTGTGTGTGTGTGTGTGTGTGTGTGTGTGTGTGTGTGTGTGTGTGTGTGTGTGTGTGTGTGTGTGTGCGTGTGTGTGCGTGTGCGTTGTACTGTTTCTGTATGCACGTGTGGTTGAGTGTGCTGATGCTGAGACAACCTGCTGCCCCTGCTTCTGCTCCTGCTCCAACTGATTCCCGCACTCAGCTCATTCTGAGACTGCCACTGATGCTTTCTACCGTCGCCCAACACTCCCATACATACATTCACACACACATTCACATTCACATTCACACACACACACACACATGCTTGCAGACGGGTTTCCTGTGCGGCTCTGACTTTACAGTTGCCGATGCATGCCTCTGGGCCGCCACCCACGACCCAAGCCTCTCCCTCCCTTCAAACATCAAGGTGTGTGTTCTGTGCGTTGCGTGTGTGGGGGGTTTTTTTTTGGGGGGGGGTTCCAAGACACTTCCCTCGCTGTGTGTCCACACTCACTCATTCTCTCTCTCACACTCATTCTCACACACTCACTCACACGCACATACACTCACTCACACACATACACACTCACTCACTCACTCACTCAACTCACTCACACTCACACACACTCAGAAATGGGCTGAGAGGATGTCGCATCTGCCACAGACTGCCGCTGTGGATGCCATGGTCATCTCTGCTTAGAGACATGGCGCACCGTCCACCCCATCTGTCGCCTCCCCCCCCCTCTACTCTACTCTCTTCTTTCTTGTTGCTGCCGCTGGATCGCTGTGTATGCTTTTGCTTTCCGGTTTGCGTGCTGATACAGACATACACATGTAGCCGTGTCAGTACGTAGGCGTGTGGTGAAGGGAGGAGGGAGAGACGAGAAAGGGAGGTGAGAAGCAGGGAAAGGAGGGATTGCAGGGAAGATGGAAGGGTCTGAAGCGACAACAACAACAACAACAACAACAACAACGCCAACAACAACAACAACAACAACAACAACGCCAACAACAACAACAACAACAACAACAACAACAACAACAACAACAACAACAACAACACACAAGCCAAGCAAGCGACGAGTCCTCTTTGCACCACGTCAGTGAATTTGCGATTATTCGTCATAATTTCCATCAATTCTTCCAACAGCAACACAACACCCGAACACCCCAAACATCTCCCGCCCCACACACAACGACAACAACGAAACAAGGTCGTCATCCTGGGCCTCGCTGCTCCCACCTCCAACAACAGCAACAACAACCTACATCCCTGCGAACCAGCCAGTCAGGCAGCTTGCCAGCCAGGCAGAAGGCAGCGATCAAATGACAGACTCGCAGGCGTCGTCTCCAAACGGAAGCTCTGTGCCTTCGTCCCCAGAGGAAGATGCCCCTTACATCGCCAAGATTCACGTGCACAGCGCAAACCACCTCCTGGCAAAGGATCTCAATGGTGCGTGCACACCACAAGGTTTTGGAGCATCGCACAGGCTCGCTGCCGCATGGCATATACTGTGCATCTTGCCGTTGTGTGCTGCACCTCTGCCCAACTGCTCACGTTCATCTGCGCTGTGTGTTGTGGGCCTGCAGCGACCTCTGACCCCTTTGTGAGGGTGTTCTTCGACGATGAGCTCGTCGGGCGCACTCAGACCAAGAAAGGTGACCTCAACCCCGTGTGGAACGCAGAGTTCTCCGTCCCCATCCACACGCTGCCCGCCCCCGGCAGCCGGGAGCCCGCGTTCAAGTTTGAAGTCCGCAATGTAAGCCCACTAAGTCGCGTTGCAGCACAGCCCTTCTTCCTCCCCTCCCCTTGTACTCATGTGCCGTTTGCCTTGCACCTCGCAACCATTCCTCATGATGTCTGGCTGCGTCCACATACACACACACTTGTTTTTGGTCACCAGGAGTACAAGTTTGGCAAGATGACGGGACAGATTCAGAACATCGGCAAGCACGCCTTCCTGGGACAGGTGCGCATGCGCGGTTGCAGTTACTCCCCCCCCCCACCTTGCTTGCAGCTGCCCATGTTGCCTTGTGTCCTGGTGCAGGGTAAATGATGACGTTTGTGTCTGCTTTGTGTCGCAGGTTGTGCTGCCGCTCTCCCGCTTTATCGGTGTTGAGAACCAAAGCATCCGCCAGGAATACACACTGGAGAAACGTTCCCACAAGTCACGCGTTCGTGGCAGCCTCCTGGTACCACTCATCTGCGTTTGTTTGTTGTTTGTTTGTTGTTTGTGTGTGTGTGTGTGTGGGGGGGGGAAGCATTGCAGCATGCCACACAGCAACAAGCTGTGAACCGAAACAGCTGCCCCCCCCCCCTCTGCTTACACTACCCAACGGTTCCTCTGGATTATGTCAGCTCGTTGTGACATGCATTCATTTCATTTCCTGTTGGCTCCATTTGTTCACAGCTTACCATCCAAGTCATCAGCAAAGACGACGCCGACAACTACCAGCTGCCAGCCAACATGCCAGGTGCAGCTAAGGCCCAAACAGAAAGGGGGAAGGCGTGAATGCGCCATTCAACCCCTTGAGCTGCACGCATGTGCTGGCGGCACCTGTTGCTCACATCACGTGTGTGTCTGGAATTGTGTGTGTATGTGTGTGTCTGTCTGTCTGCCTGTGCTTGCGTGTCTCCCCAGACGATGTGCTCGAGTCTGCCCGACGACGCAGTCACCTCAGCGTGGGCGAAATGGCCGAGCTCTCCCGCGCCCTCCACGGCGGCCACCTCAAGCCGGGCAAATACACGTGTGTGTGTGTGTGTGTGTGTGTGTGTGTGTGTGTTGTGTGTGTGTGTGGTGTGTCTGTGTTGTGTGTGTGTGTGTGTGTGTGTGGCTGTGTATGTCGCTTCAACCCCGGGCAAAGCTCACGTTCCCTCGTCCCCGTTTCCATGTAGCCATGCAGGTACCTATGTGTGTGTGTGCGTGTGTCTGTGTCTGTGTGTGCGTGTGTGTGTGTGTGGCTGTGTATGTGTGTGTGTGCGTGTGTCTGTGTCTGTGTGTGCGTGTGTGTCTGTGTGGCTGTGTATGTGTGTGTCTGTGTCTGTATGTGCATTACTGTGCATGTCTATCGAGCTTCCTCCTCCCTGGCCCTCCAAGCACATACACGCTCTTTCTCCTCAAACCTGGCTCCCGTATACTCACCCTCAACAACCACCACAATGCCTGTGTTGCCTCTGCCCCCCCTCCTCTCAGCCTGCGTATCCAGTTCCAGAAGGCGTTCAAAGTGCCGATGGTCGACAAGCACCGTGCCATATCCTTCCACTTCCGCGTTGTTGCCAACCACATCAAGGCAAAATCGCAGGAGTTTGAAATTCCATTTGGCGACGCCGCGCCAGAGGATATCAAGTGAGGGAGGGGTGTCTGCTGCTACAGCTGTTACTGTTGTGTCTCCTCTTGGACAATGATGCCTTGAAAGAGTCACACATGCACATGCACATGCACACATCATATCGCTCACACTCACGTGTCGCTTGCTCACATGCACTCGTCGACAGCCTCACCTCGGAGCCAATCAGCCTGCCCATCAACATCATTGCGTCCGTACCACCGCCGTTCCTGAAAGTGTATCTCATCATCACCACCTCCATCTCCACCCACCTCACCCTCGGCCAAACTAGCATCTCCCTCGGCCTCATACCAGGTGCCTCGTGTGTGTGTGTGTGTCTGTCTGTGTGTGTGTATCTGTGTATCTGTGTGTGTGTGCATGTGTGTGTCTGTGTGTCTGTGTGTCTGTGTCTGTGTCTGTGTGATTCTGTGTCTGTCTGTCTGTCCGTCCGACTGTCTGTGCAGAATTGTCGTGATTCCTCGCCCACGGTTCTTTGCGCCACCTTACCCACTACCATGTGCGCGTGTGTCCGCCAGTGGTTGAGCAAGAGGCCGAGGAAGAGCTTGAGCGCATCGTTCCCGTCGATCTCTACGTCGAGAAGAAGAAACTGACCATCGTCCCGCCCTACATGAAACTCAGATCGCATGGCAGCATCTGCATGCTTCGATGTGCGTATCTCTGCGCGTCTGTCAACCCATGCCGTTTGTGTTTGCGCCCCGCTGTTGTGTCAATCACCATCTACCACCTTGTGCTCTGCCGCTGCTGTCCACTCATCCGTCTTGCTGCGCGCGCGTGCGTGCGTGTGTGTGTGTGTGTGTGTGTGTGTGTGTGTGTGTGTGTGTGCGTGTGTGTGGTGGTGTGTGTGTGGTGGTCGCGTTTTACACCTGCGTCGCATCACGTTTCGGGCTCGCCACTCACTTCACTTTTTTTGTGTCTGCCTGTCTATCTATCTAACCCTTTGCCCATCCGCGTCTGTGCCCTCCCTGCCCCCTCCCACCACTAGTTTCTGCGTGGCTGGTGCGTGAAATGGCGATGGATATGGAGGAGGACTACGACGCCTCAGACGAACTTCAGTCCGACGAAGAAGATGTTCCCGAGATCATTTCAAGCACGCCGCGCCCTGATCAGCTCCCGGAGCCATTCGAGGTACCCGCGCCCGTCGATGCGGGTTGTTTGTTTGTTTGTTTGTTTGTTTGTTTGTTTGTTTGTGTGGTCTGGCGTGTGTAATCCGTGGTTTCCACCAGTGCTTCTTCGCCAACACTATTCTCGCATTTCTCGCCTGCGTGGCCGTGTGGACAGTGGGATCTCGCTTCTGTCGAAGTCAAGGGATCGGTGCACCGTGCAAATCGGGTATGTATCTGCACACACATGCACATACATGCGAGTGCGCACGTGTACAAGGTTATTTATGCATCACAAACATGCATCCACGCTCACTCGCTCCCTCACACCCACATACTCGCCGCGCCCCAACCCCGTCGTTGCACCGCCACCGCCACAGCTGATGTTTGATGAGTCATCGCCGGTGCTGCGGGCGATGTGCGAGGAGAAGCGATTGACAGAGCTGTCCTTTACGCCGTGGACGGAAGACGGGCAGCGCGAGTTCTCATACCTCATCCCCAAGTCATCCGTTGTCCAGGTACGCCCTAGTTTTGTGCGTGCATGTGCGTGTGCGTGTGCGTGTGCGTGTGCGTGCTTGCGTGCGTGTGCGTGTGTGTGCGTGTGTGTGTGTATGTATGTATGTGTGTGCGTGCTTGCGTGCGTGTGTGTGTGCATGTATGTATGTGTGTGTGTGCGCGTGCGCGCGTGCGTGCGTGTGTGTGTGTGCCACTGTGTACTGTGTAATTATGCTGTAGTTTCTGTTCCATCTTCGCCCGTGTGTCTGCATGTCTGCCAGAACGCGACAAGTGCTGCAACTGTGCTCCATCCTAACGGCACCACCACATGCGTTGCAGGCAAACCATGCGTGCGAGTACCAGAAGTACCTTGTCCGCTGCCAAGGTGAGGATGTGGTTGAGGAATCACAGTCGCGGGGCATGAACGGTTTTGACCTCTGTCTCATTCCATTTCTGCCCCACAATCATGTTGTTGTTGCTTTTGTTTTTTCCACGCTCACGCTATGCATTGCATGTGGTTGGCCCAGATGCATATGTAATGGAGATTGAGACGAAAACGCCCGAAGTGCCCTATGGAGCTGTGAGTCATTTGTCGATAACGCTTGGAATGGAAGCAGTGCCGCGTTCGCTGTATTGTGTTGTTGTCTTGTGTTGTTGTCTGGTGACCTCGATCTTCGCACACACACACACACACACACACACACACACAGACGTGCACACGCGCACACGCGCACACGCGCACAAACAAGGCACTCGTGCCCACGCACACGCATTTGTCAGCCATGTCCTTCCTGCCGGTAGTGATCGCTTGTGGCTTACCCTGTTCACCCCCACTCAAACCACGTGTGTATGCATACGATTACCAGGACTTTGTGACGCAGCTGCGCATCTTCCTGCTCCAGGATGGCCCGCGTGTGAATGTTCGCGCAACTGGCCGTATTGTCTTCTCCAAGAACGTGTTTCTCAAGGGCGTCATCACACGCAGCGCAAAGGTTCGCCCCGGTTGTGATGTGATGTGATGTGATGTGATGTGATGTGATGTTGCTATCTCCCCCCGCCCCTCTTTCTCTGGCGTTTTAACCCCTCCCTTGCTCCGCTTGTTTTTTTCTTCCTGTCTTCAGGCCGGAATGACAGCCACGTACAAGATGTATCTGAAGCACCTGCAATCCGCGTTTGCACCGCGCAGGAAGAAAGGCGACCAAGCAACTGCTGTTCCAGGTGTGTTGTTTGTGCCCTTGCCTCATACATGCGCGTGCATGCGTGTCCTCTCCTCTCCCTCTCCCTCCGCCTTTCCATTCCTTCCCCTTCCCCCTCCCCAGCTATAATTGCTTGGATCGACAGTGCACCACAGCAGCAACCGTGGCTCTCTTTGTGCCTGACGTGCATGGCTGTCTGTGTACAGGGACTGTTGAGGAGGCGACAACGGAAGAGGAGGCAAAATCAAAATGGCTGTCGTTCCTTCCGCGCCCAACCATCATCATTGCTTTTCAGGTGCCATTCTGTGACACCGTACACAAGTCCATCACCCCATGGCTGCATCTAGCGTCCCATGGATGATTGTGGCTTTTTGATGCGTGTGTGTGTGTGTGCGTGTGTGTGTGTGTGTGTGAGTGCATGTGTACGTGTGTCTTGTGGCTGCGTGCTGGTATTTTGGCTGTCTTTGGCATGTAGCCTCGCCCATTGAAGTGCGTGCAGGCGTCTTGTATATCCTGCTGTGTGCTCCAGCCAACTGACACTAGCCAGTCGAATCTTCATTCACCAACTCACGCTCCGCACTCTATTCAACTTCCTTTCACCGATGGCTGCCAGGCTACCATCATCGTGATATTGCTGGTTGTACTTGCCTTTCTGTGGTTCAATAATCATGACCTTGCTGGCCGCATCGCTGAGCTCGAAGGTAAACATCACATCCTGTTTGCGTTTTGGGGTCTACCCTGGTGCCCCCCCCCCTTAGGTCGCAAACTGTTTGCAGGGCAGTGGGGCTTGGAGAGACGATGCCGGTAATTCGGCGAGCCGTGCTGCTTGTTAGTGCTTTGCTCACGGCATTGTGCTGTGTGTGTTGAATGCTGATTTGGCATTGTCTCACAGGGCTTGTTGAGGGACGTGTTGATCGGTCGACATCTGGTGCAACGGCCTCAAAGGATGAGCTGTAACGACTCTTGGTCAGATTCTGGCTGCTCCTCTTCGTTTCCTGCCATCGCCTGCTCTGATTGACACCAACAGGAACAACTACATGCAATGCAGTGTTGGCGCGTTCCTGTCTGATGCGTCCTGTATCATGTGATGTGAATAGCGCCGAGCTGTAGTAGCGTGTCGCTGCACCACTATTTTGTTTTGTTGCTTGTTCGTGTGCCTTTCGCTCAAAGATCGTCATCGTCTTGTGGCTGTGTTTTGTTGAGTTACGACCCACTGTGACTGACGTTCGTTATATCACGTCTTTTGTTTCGTCTCCTGGTTATCTCGCACCATAAACGCCCAACTTCCTTTGTCGAGACACCGTAGCAGCAGCTACTGCCAACGTCAGCGCCACGCTTCATTCCCACCCCATTCCTTGTCGACTCACAAACACTCACACACACAAACACTCACTCACTCACACAAACACACACACACACACACACTCACCGACGCAGGAAACGCAAACGCAGTATAGCCGGTTTCATCCGTGCTTGCTATTTAACGCTTCTTGTATGTGTATTCCAGTTAGCCAGTTGCAAGTAAGTCGACTAAGCCAACAAAGCCACGAAATGAGCAGCAATCCCAAGAGCGAAGGGTAGAGGCAACATACGTGCGAGCTCAGACACGTACACGGCAAACAGACAGCAACAGAGAGAGAGAGAGAGAGAGAGAGAGAGAGAGAGAGAGAGAGCCAGCGACAACAAGGACAGGACAGGTATGTGGCGAGTGATGGTGAGAGGAGCGAAGGGCTACGAAATGGGCCTCTTGAAAACAAACGTCATTCTCAAGTCCAGAAGTCCCACAGGGCTACTCTTCGTCGTCGTCATCGTCGTCATCGTCGTCGTCGTCGTCGTCGTCGTCGGAATCAGAAGAATCATTTTTGGGATGGAAGTCAGCTCGGTTGAAGCAGAGGCACAGCACGCAAAAATTGAAGCATATGGCTACTGCGTGCGCCGCAAAGACTAGATGCTCTGGTTTAGGCTCGGGACTCTCTTCAAGTCGTCGTGCGAGAGTAAAGGAAACCATGTTGACAATTGCGAGGCGCTCCGTGGCGCCTTTCTTGCCTCGCTTCACTTCTGCTGCAAGATCGCGTCTGAGGTTGGTCAGATACTGGGCTGCTCGAACAACCTCATGGTATCCCACAGCGTTCGGTCCAATCTCGTCATATAGCCGGTCACATATCCTCAGGTTGTACCGGTGATGCGGACAGAACACGACGCGGTTCTGGAACATGTCTTGATGCTCCTATGTCGCCCAAACACAGCAACAAAGCCCATCCACACAAGACGAGAGAGGACAACAGCGGGGGACAGGTTAGCTTGAGCAGACTGCGCACACGTGTCAGGACAGGGGGCGTGGGCAGCAGCAACAGCAGCAGCAGCAGGAGTGTCAACGGTGCATGACAGGCAGTTCACGGGCGGCACCAGCTCCATGGCGATGAGAGCAACTGAGCATCAGGCCAATGGATGACAGTGCAAGAGTCTAAGAGTGGTGGGGTGTGGCGAATGCATGGGCGCTTGCTCACCTCGAAGGAGAGTTGGGTGCAGAGCAGAGCAAGGAGAGCAGGGAGGAGGAGAGGAGAGCAAGCCAATAAGCCAAAAGCAACCACTCACGGACACGAAGGCGACTGAGCAAGTGAGCAACACAAGAACAAGAGAAAATGATGACCAGCGAACCACCGACAGCAGACGCAAGGAGCATGAACAGCACGTGGTTGCTCGCACGAGGGACAAATGAGGGAGGGTATTCTGGTATTACACGTGCACCGCGAACAGAGGAACAGCGACACGTGGACAGTCAACATGCACGCACGCGAAATCACGCGTCAGTACTGTCGATGACGTCATGCCATGCGCTTTAGGCTTTAGAAGTACATTGTGTAATGTAATTTTTTTTGCCCACTACATTGAGGGGTTTTCTGTGGACAACAACAACAACAGGCGACGCACTTGCCACGCGCTCACGATCATGCATGTGCTGCACATGTGCCGCCACGCGATCATGTGATACTGGCCATGCGCACACGCGAGCACGCGTCACGTGCCAGTGACAGCTGGCGTGCAGCTTTGCGACTTGAGCCGACCATCGCCTGTGTCCTTGGCATGGACTTCATTTTCCACCGCGCTCTTCGCTCCAGCACAGCACAGGTGGGCTCTGCTGAACTGTGTGACATGGTCCTCGCTTGCTGTCGGAGGTTCGGGTGTGCTGTTTGTCTTCAGTTGCACCCATCGCCTTGCCTCTTCAAGCACCCTGTTGCTGCGTTACTCGCATTGTGTGCGTGCGTATGTGTGCATGTATGTGCGTGCGTGCGTGTGCATGCGTGTGTATCTGGCTGTGTGTACGCCCATGTCTATGTCTGTTCCTCTTACTCCCCCGTCTCTGCGTGTGCCCTGTGATCACCCTCAATGCTATCTCCACCTTCCATCAGTGTTCGGCATTCTTCATCGCCAGTTAGACGAGCTCAGCCCACCACGAAACAACCGACTCGCTTGACTTCCTGGCTCCTCAGCGCGCATCTCTCCCATCGCACCATGTCGCGCCCTTATCCGTGCCCCCGGCTTGGTCCTGGCAAATGCTGCACCGCCCAGTTCTGCCCCGAGTTCTGCAAGATGACAGACAGGGAGCTGATCCAGTGCTTACCAAGAGCACAGGAGCACCTGCGACAATGCTGTGAAACCGTTGGAGCTGTAGTGGCGCGAAACCCAAGTGACAGGAAAGCAGTGATTGCTCTTTCAGTGTATCGCCAATTGCACCGTGCTTCTCTGACCGTCAATGCACTGGACCGACTGATGGCTGAGGGATTCTGTGTGTTTTGCTTCTGTCTGGTCAACGCTTGTGAGTGCTGCTATCGCCGCAACCCTCTTCCAAGGCCGTCATCATGACGTCTGGCGACAAGCGACCCTTGCATCAAGTTTGGGAGACTGCTGTGCCTTTCCTGGCAAGGGTGCCTCTTACTTACGGTGTCCACCCTATCCAGTACCGTACCTTGGGGCTGTTCCCTTTTGTTGATGCCCCTCCCTCATGTCTGCCTGCTCAACACACGTGCATGCTTGCGTGTCTGGTGTCTCTGCGCATCAAGTCCGTTTACATGGATTGGCACGAGCACCCGCTCACATCACATTGCACATTGAATATCAAGTGAACCAAGTAAACGAAGTGCTTTCGTATCCCAAGTCAAACGGCCCACACCGTGCAAAGCCGTGCCGGAGGAACAGGGGGTGGGCGAGACGACAAATACACAGCAACACAACAACATGCGTGGGTGGACGGACACGTCGTTGCGCGACAGTGAAAGGGGGAAATCAACGGTCTGGCACAGACCAAGGGATGGCCGCACGAAGTTCACGCCAACGATACAGTGCACGACGGTCAGCGCTGTCAGGATATGAGGGCATCATCCAAGGATCCAACACGCACACGCGCACGGGGTGCATCCATACATGTGCACGACACAACACACACACACACACACACACACAGACACACACACACACACACACACACACACACACACACACACACACAGACATACACACATGCCCAACACACACAAACACACACAGACACACACACAGACACACGACCGCGCGTCTGTTTCATTCGGGAAGAAACGTGTTCATGCAAAAGCCGGCGATGAGGCCGCCAAAGAAGAAGGCTGCGCACGCGCGCGCAAGGGCGGAGCTGCCGGCCTTGGCCTCCTGATACGAGTCGGAGTAGAGCTGCGTCGTGGCGAGGTATGTGATCTGGCCCACGGTGAAGGCAACAATGCCAGAGAAGATAGCCGACGAGCGGGAGATGGCAAGGATGACGGCGCGCCCAAGCCACGCACCAAGGAGCATGGTGAAGGGGATGGCAACCAGGCACGGGACAGCCACCCGCCGCTGCACGCCGTGCTTGTACAAGATGCTGGAGAGCGCTGCGCCCGTGATGCACATCTCCATGGCCAGCGAGCCGCTCACCACCAGACCCTGCGTCAGGGTGAGGGACGAGGTCACGCCAATGACCAGCCCGTCGCTCATTCCGTCCAGCGCGATGAGCACCGCGGCACCCAGCGGGAAGTCGCCCGTCCCCGGGTGCGGCAGGCGCCGTCGCCGCGACACGGGCAGCGGGGCCGGCGGAGCAGAGGTGGTGCGGCGCAGGCGCAGCGGCCGCCGCCCGTCCCACACGCCGGCGTCAATGCTCTCCGCAAGCGAGTGCTCGCCAGCCAGATACTCGATGGGCGGGTTGTTGATGGTTGCGGCGCTGTACACGCTGCTTGCATCTGTCAACAGCGGCTGCTGCTCTGCATCGTCGGCATTGTCGCTGCCCACACGCCTGCGCCGCCTGCGACCGCCGCGCACACAGCGCGGGTGGTGGTGACGGCGCTGACCCGACGGCGACGCTGTGGACCACGCACGGCTGTGATCCGTTGTGTGAGAAGGCAGCTGTGGCTGTGACGCTGGTTGTGATGTTGGGTGCGATGTTGGTTGTGTTCCTTGAGATGATGCTGGCGGTGGTCGTGGTGGTGACGAGGACGCTAACAGAGGTGCCGATGATGGTGGCGTGTTGTCATTGTCTGCACGCGCATGCGGCGGGGTCAAAGGTGTTCCCGGGGTCGAAGGCGAAGGCGATGATGCTGATGGGGATGATGTTGACAGCGACGGCGGCGCCACCATGAGCATCGAGGGCGTGTGCTGGCCCATGTCTGCAAACGGAAACCGAGAGTATGGCATGCCACCTGGCGCATTGACGCTGGGTGACTCAGCAGGTGGCTGATGTTGCGGGTGCGTCAGGTTGTTGGTGTTGTTGAGCTGTGCGTCGTAGTCGTGTGCCTTGGCGTGTGCTGCATCACGTTCGCCCATGGCGGCGCTTGTGGTTGCTGTAGTGTGAGGTTTGCCGTTGGGCGCTGCATGGCTGGCACTGCTGGTCTTGCTGGGTTCTGCAGGACGGGGCTGCTGCTGCTTCTCCAGGAGGTTCTGCAGCTGCCTCTCCCTCCGCTCGCGCTGCTGGCGCCGGCGCTCGTCCTGCGCCCTCTCATGCGCCTGCGCGATGCGGTCCTCGGCGACGTCGAGGATGATCACCATACCGCCGGCCACGGCCAGGCCAACGACGACGGCGACGGCGTGCGGCGTGTCCAGGCTCTTGGTTGCCAGCGGGACCAGCTCGAAGAAGAGCGAGGCCACCAGCAAGCCTGCGGCCAAGGAGCCGAAGCAGCAGCGCACGCGGCGCCCAGGCGCGTAGAAATAGGCGGTGAGGGAGCCGACAATCATGCAGCCGATGGGCAGGCACACGACCCCACACAGCACAGCCAGATCATGGCTGAAGAACTTCATGCTGCGTGTGTGTGTGTGTATGTGTGTGTGTATGTGTGTGTGCGTGTGTGTGTGTGTGCGTGTGTGTGTGTGTGAACGAGCGTGGACAGGGGATTGGGAAAAGGATGGGTTGTTGGCTGGAAGCAGCTGAGCTGCAGTGCAACAACACGCTGCACTGCCAATGTGCGCGCTTGTGTGCTTGTGTGGGCGTTGGGCGAGTCAAACACGAGAGGGGGCGACTTCTGGGAGTGCGTGGCGCCGGGTTTGGTCAATGGTGCTTGTCTCACATCCCATCACAGCAGCATCACAACAGCATCACACGCAGCAGTTATTGTGCTCAAAGGGAGAGGCTGCTGCGCTGGAAGTTGTGCATGGTGCGCTGCATGGTTGCTGGAAGTTGTGAGTGCGCAGTTGATGTGATTGCAGAAGCAACACAACACGGCTGAGCATGAATGAAGAAGAAAAACAAAAAGTGGACCCACCGGGGATTGAACCCGGGACATCGTGCATGCAAAGCACGCGCTCTACCACTGAGCTATGGGCCCCAACACTCGGTTGCAAAGGGGAAGAAAATTGTGCTGTTCAAGCATATCCGACACGACACAGAGGATGATGATGAAGCCACACGAGGACGACGGCAGCGGTCGCAGTGGTGGCAGTGGCGGTCATGGCCGCAGTGATGATCTGCAGCAACAGCAGGAGCAGGAGCAGCAGTTGCAACAGCAGGAGCAGCAGCGAGAGGCGTTGCTGCAACAGTTGAGGACAAGGGTGGTGGTACTGGGGGCGGTGATTGAGGATGAGCCAGAAGAAACAGTGGCATCAGTGGAATCGACTGGGGGGAAGGAGAGCAATGTGGACAAGGGCGAAGAAGATGCATCTAAGAAGAAGGCAGGGAGCAGCAGTAGTAGTGGTAACAGCAGCAGCAGCAGCAGCAGCAGCAGCAGCAGCAGCAGCAGGAGAAGAAGAAGAAGAATACAAAGGCCAGTGCCATGCTGCACGCTGCTGGCCGGACCACGACACAGTGGCAAGGTCTCACACGTGTGTGTGTGTGTGTGTGTGTGTGTGTGTGTGTGTGTGTGTGTGTGTGTGTGTGTGTGTGTGTGTGTGTGTGTGTGTGCGTATGTGTGTGCGTATGTGTGTGCGTATGTGTGTGTATGTGTGTGTTTCTTGGCGTGCGTTGTCTGCTTTTGCTAAACCTTTTTGTTGACGTTGTTGTTGCACATCATAATGCAACCTCACTTGTTCACGTCGCTGCTTCCCTTTGCCTGTGTTGTTGGCACTGTGCAGACGAGACTCGTTGAGGAGTTGATGGCATCCACGCCATCATGGCGTGTGCGCCGCCTGCAGCTGCTGAACAAGTTTGAAGATGCTGCAAACTGGCCTCGCACGGTTTCGGTATGCACCATCATCTGCGTCGTCCTCATCCATTTGCGCCTGCATGAGCTGCGTGCACTGCGTGTGCGCAACCTTGCTTCGTCGTTTGCCCACGCTCACGCTCACATGATTGCATCATTCTGTGTGTGTTTGCAGGAACTAGATCGTGCAAAGGGCGAGCTGGAAGCATCCTTGTCGACAGCACAACCACCAGCACATGGCACACCATCATCACCGCAGCTGCTCGGTCAGACAATGTTTTGTGTGTGTGTGTGTGTCTGTGTGTGTGTGTGTGTGTGTGTGTGTGTGTGTGTGTGTGTGCGTGTGTGTGTGTTCAGCTTAACGCGCACTACCCATGACGCTGAACAACTTCAGTGCTGGACAACGTGGACACGCTGAAATGGAAGCACAACTTGCTGCAGGCTGTTCTGCAGCTCATCGACACAGCCCTCGCCAATAACGTATGTTGACCACCATTGCTCACGCAGCGGCGCAGACGCGTGTGGCTTGTCACGCCATGCTAGGCGACATCCCAAAGCACACCACACACACACACACACACACACACACACACACACACACATACAATGTGCAGGTTGCTGTGATCGGCACGTGTCGTCGCCCAGGGCTGGTGGCACGTGCGCTGCTCAGTCCGCCATACTTTGACACCCGCATCGACCTACGACCACCGCCGCCGCCACCACCACCACAGCAGCAACAGCACGGAGCACCAGCACCGCCATCGTCGTCACGGTTGCCACCCCTGTTGACCTGCACACCACCACCACCATCATCGTCGTCGTCGTCGTCGTCGCAGTGGGCGCCGCTGCTGCACCCGAGCCGCAACACCGTGCCGCCCTGCGCGTTTGCCGGTTACCAGAGCACGCACGCGCGGGTGATGGCTGTTGTTGAGAGCTGGCGGCGAGGGTCGTTGCAGGCGCTTGGGCTGACGCCGCCGTCGGGGCTGCTGCTGCATGGGCCCCCAGGCTGCGGCAAGACCCTGCTCGCCCTCACCATCATCAACCGCCTCAACCTCCCCGTCTTTGCCGTTTCCGTACGTGCTGCATGGTGTATGTTGGTGTGTGTGTGTGTGTGTGGTGGTTACGCGCGGGTACGCGCGGGTACGCGGGTTTGTATTTGTGCACGCCTGCATATGCTGCGCCTGTGTTTGCCTGTAATTGTTTACACTCCGTGCACGCGCTTGATGTTGCCTCTGCTCACGCGCCATGACTGTGTGTGTGTGCTGTGTCAGGCGACGGACGTGTTCAGCAAGTATCTCGGGGAGACGGAGGAGAACATACGGCGCCTGTTTTCCTCTGCCCGCAGCGCCCGCCCGTCTGTTGTTCTCTTTGACGGCATCGACGCCTTTGCGCCAACCAGGGCCGCCGCAGCACACAGCAGGTACGGGGTATGTGTGTGTGTGTGGTTGTGTGTGCGTGCGTGTGTGTGTGTGGTTGTGTGTGTGTGTGTGTGTGCTTTTGTGTCTTGATTGCTGCAAGCTGCGCTCGGGCAGGCC